AGTTCCTCATGGTCTCTGTGGCCTCCATCATCCCCTCGCTGGATCCAGCAGACTGGTATGCCGCCCTCGACTTGAAGGACACATATTTTTATATCACTATTACTCAGCCCCATAGAAAGTATCTCAGGTTTGTGGTAAACAATACCCACTACTAATTCACAGTCCTTCCATTTGGCCTGTCAGCAGCACCTTGAGTCTTCACCAAGTGCATCGCAGTTGTCAACGTTTTCTTGTGCAGGCGCCAGGTACAGGGGTTTCTGTACCTCGACGACTGGCTGATCAGAGGCCGCTCCAGGACCCAAGTGGAAGCTCGGGTCAGATTCATCAGAGCCACCTTCGAAAACCTGGGTCTCCTTCTAAATGAAGCAAAATCAATTCTGTCCCCTGTACAGAGGATAGGGGCAGTACTGGACTTGACCTAAGCCATGGAATACCTGCCGGAAGCAAGGTTTCAGGCCCTCACCGATATCTTTTGAGGCCTCACACAGTTTCCCACCAGCACAGCAAGAAACTGCCTGAAGCTTCTCAGACACATGGCTGCCTGTACCTATGTGGTGCAGCATGCCAGATTCAGGCTTCGACCTCTTCAGTTGTGGCTCATGTCAGTGTATCGCCCAGCCCGGGACAGCTTGGACAGGATCGTGACCCTGCCTCGCCCGCTCCTTGACTCTCTCCTGTGGTGGCTCGACCCTCAGGAGGTATGCTCAGGGGTCCTCTTCACCATTCTGCTGCCGTCTCTGTTGCTAGTGACGGACACATCAGCATGGTCTGGGGAGCTCATCTGGGAGACCGCAGTACCCAAGATCTCTGGTCTCACGCAGACCTGGCTCTCCATATCAATGCAGAGAGCTGAGAGCGGTGCACCTAGCATGCCAGACCTTCCATGCACACATAATGGGACATTGTGTATCTGTTATGACAGACAATACAACAGCAATGCTCTACATCAACAAACAGGGTGGTGCACGCTCCTCTTCCCTCTGCCAAGAAGCCCTCATGCTGTGGGACTTCTGTGTGGAGCATTCAATACACCTGCATGTGTCGTACCTCCCCAGGGTATAAAACGAGCTGGTGGGCCACCTCAGCAGGTCGTTTCAAGTCCATGAGTGGTTCCTTCACATGGACATTGCATTTTCAATCTTCCATAGGTGGGTTTTTCCCCAGATATACCTATTTGCCACACGACATAACAGGAAGTGCCAGCAGTTCTGCCCCTTCCAGAATCACAGCCAGAGCTCCAGATTGGATGCCTTCCTTCTTTCATGAGGAGGCCATCTCCTTTCCACCTTTCTGTCCATACCGCTCGTTCACAAGGTACTCCTCAAGATCCAGAGGGAATGAGCTTGGGTCATATTGATAGCACCAGCCTGGCCCCATCCAAACTGGTACACATCTCTCCTAGACATATCCATGGAAGCCCTGGTCACCCTTCCACTCTTCCCAGACCTTCTGATGCAAGATCATGGTCGTCTTCAACATCCGAAAATTGTGTCGTTTCATCTCACGGCATGGAAGCTCCATGATTGAACCCGATGGAGATTTCCTGTTCAGAACAGGTTCTTCTAGTCCTCCTTGGCAGCAGGAAACCCTCTACTAGAGCCACCTACCTTGCCAAGTGGAAGAGATTTTCGATCTGGTAGGCACAGCGCCATTCATGCCTGACACTAGCCTCAGTGCTGCTCATTCTGGACTATCTCTTCCATCTGAAGCAGCAGGGGCTTTTGTTGTCTTCAATAAGAGTGCACTTAGCTGCCATATCCGCCCTCCATCTGGGCATGGGGGGGAGAGGGGGATCGGTGTTTGCTAAACCTATGGTCAGCCAATTTTTAAAAGGGCTCAACAGGCTGTACCCCACGTCTGTCAGCCGGTCCCTACCTGGGACCACAACCTGGTCCTCTCTAGGCTCATGGGACCCCCCCGCTTTGAACCATTAGCAACATGCTCCCTGCTCTACAAGGTGGCGTTCCTAGTAGTGATAACCTCGGCCAGGAGAGTGTCTGAGCTCAGGGCCCTACCATCAGAGCCTCCTTACATCGTGTTCTATAAGGACAAGTTTCAGCTCAGGCCTCACCCTGCTTTCTTCCCGAAAGTTGTGTCGCAGTTTCACATCAACCAGGACATCTTCCTCCTGGTATTCTACGCTAAGCTGCACTCCACCGCAAGGAACAGAGACTTCACTTTCTGGATGTCCGCAGGGCGCTAGTCTTTTACATTGAGAGAATGAAGCCGTTCAGAAAATCGGTCCAGTTATTTGTGGCAGTGGCAGACAGACTGAAAGGTCTGCCTGTATCGTCACAATGCATTTCGTCATGGATCACATCCTGCATTCGTGAGTGCTACAACCTGGCTGGGGTTCCCGCACCTCCAATCACTGCGAACTCTACCAGGGTGCAGGCTTCATCAACAGCATTCCTGGCACAGGCCAGAGACGATGCGGCCTTCGGACGAGCAGTGCTCCAATCAGTGGAAGACTCCGACCCCACCTCCTGAATTTAGGCTTGTGAGTCACCTGATTGGAATTGACATGAACAAGCACTTGAAGAAGAAAAAATGGTTACTCACCTTCTCGTAACTATTGTTCTTCAAGATGTGTTGTTCATGTCCATTCCAATACCCATAGTCCTAACGCTCTTTCAGAGTAGCTGGCAAGAAGGAACTGAAGGGGTGGCGGGTTGGCTGGGCTCTATATTGAGTGCCATGAAGGCGCAACTCCAGGGAGCGCCTAGGCCGACCCGACGGATGCTGCTAGGGGAAAATCTTCCAGCTACCGTGCATGCACTCACCTGATTGGAATGGATACGAACAACACATCTCGAAGAACAACAGTTACGAGAAGGTGAGTAACCATTTTCTTTCTTCAAACAGGGGAACCTATCACATTCCCAGAACCATGCAATAGACTGGTATTATCCATATTTATATTCCTGTTTTGATATATAGCATGTGATTTAATTGACCATGAGAATGACATTCAGGACTCTCACCTCCTTCCACCATCCCTCTTTCCCTGCCGCCATATAAATAAGCAATGACTTGCAACTAAAAGTACAAATCAACCAATCTATCAAAATAGCTTTACCCCCAAGAGGTTTAATTTTTTCCCTTGAAAAGAGAGAAGAGCCAGTGTCCATGAAGATTAGAAAGTGCAATACTGGGTGAGAGTATAATACCTCTGTTTAGGTGAGATGCTACTGAACTAACTTTGAGAACTTGTGTAGATAAGACGCAGCCCACTGAGATGGCGCCTGTCCTTTGTCTCCGGTTAAGCCCATAGATTGATGATGGTCCATTGTACCTCTGCTTCAAATTCTCTTTTAAGGAGTTGAAAAGGGCACTGTCCTCTCCTTCTTATTGAACATTTGTGTAAAATCATTGAGGAATATTGAGACACGATGGTCTTATAGGCTAGCAGTGGAAACATAGCATACAGTTGTATTGCTCCCTTACATCAGGTACCAATAATACTATCACCATGTGTCCTAACACCTAAGTGATATTATTGCATGGATCAAGCACAGTTGGATCATACTGAAACTTGGCAAGACAGAGGTAATGCTGGTGAGAAAAGAGATGTATTTCAAAGAGTTAGCTGGCAGTATTACTGTCATCCTCTATTGATCAAATGATCTGAACAGTGTGTAACCTTAGGGTCTTTATGGATTTCTTTCTGATATTTGAGACCCAAATAGTGATGGCCAGAAGAAAGGCTTTCATCCACTTTTGCTGACTAGAAGACTGTACCCAGTAGTCACAGATATGGACTAGGCTAAAGTTATCCATGATTTTGTGACCTTCAGGCTGAATTATTGCAGTGTTTTATAAGTCTGACATAGTTTACAAACTCAGAAAAATCTCTAATTGGTTCAGAAAACAGCAGCATGCCTCCTGAGAAATGCCAAGCACACATTGTCAGTCACTACATTGACTCCCCTTTGAATATTGGATCCAGTACAAGGTGAAGGTCCTACTCTTTGAAGGTCTTAATGGGTTGGATCTGTACAGCCTGAAAAACGTCTTTCTCTGTGACCAGAACGTGCTATGCTATCAGTATTACTGAGGAGCAGTTTAGCTGGCAACCAGAGAAAGGCTTAAGATTGATGGCGATAGACCTTTATTGGTCTATAGAATTCCTTTTTTTTTTTTAAGATCAGAATGACCTCATAAGTCACAATATATAAGATCCTGCTTTTGTGATTTTTATCACGAGTCTTATGATAGTTACTTTTTTCTTAAAACAAGGAGATATGTGAATACATCACAATCTCAACTTTCATTTTTAAAAAAGAAAGCTAAGTTGCTAATTCTCTTGGTGGCAGAGAAATGCTGGAATATTTGAACTGAAAAAGCACAAAAGCCAGAAGGCAAATAAAAAGAATTCCAAATATTTTATTTTTAAAAGCTCATGATTTTAAAGCCAATATCATGATTTCTGGGGGCCGGACTCATGATTTTTGAACATTTGGGGTTGGCAATCCCGGACCCATCAATTCACCATAGTTTCCCACAATAATAAAAATGTTAACTCCCCCAAAAGTTAATAATTGATAGAACTTGGGGAGGGAAGGGTAGGCTCATGATCAGTGAACTTCCAGTTTTCTTTTTTAAAATTCATAAGGTTGTCAGATACCACAGTGAGGGATGCTGGATTAACATTAAGTTATAGATAGGCAGATGCAGTTTCACTTACACAGAGCCACATGGGAAAGGATTATTATTTCCCTGTTTCTGTGCTTGGTAAGTAAACTAATGTTGTTTTTCATAGGTCTGTACATTTATATACATTATTTGTATGTAGCTGGTATTTTGTATTTACCAAATACAATATAACGCACTGTCTACTCTGGCCTAGAGCATCTAGAGATTCATGTGGCTTCTCTCGTTTTAGTATCTTCATGCATAAATCATTGAAAGTTATTTTCTGGATTGGAAGTAACAGTAATTAAATATATGAAAATATTAAAATGTATATTCTTCTATTATCTCATGTTATATAGATTAAGAAGGTAAAACTGGCCATGGAGCTCTCAGAACTTGTGATTTATACCAAAGCTGAAAAGTTTAAAAGTTTTGAGCATTCAAGAGCTAATCAGAAGTTCTATGAAATGAATTCAATTGGAGAGACTAAAGCACGAAAACTTGCCAAACAGACAGGTAATTTCTTTTGGTTTAATCAGATAAAAGTTATAATGTTGCCATAGTTCATTGCTTAGCTGTCAGAACAGTCAATAAACATTATGAACCATATAGTCTTCAATTTATTGGTTTGTTTTATAATGCAGTTTTAGAAATATTCTGGCAATTGTGTTGCAGATTTGCATTTATTGCTTTATTAAGCAAAATGAAATATTTTTTCTAAATAAAATATTTTGTTCAGTATTGTTTTTAATTCATATTGTCTCATAAAAACAAACATTGCATAGTAAAGGAACCATATGAATACATTATGTTTTGTTGCAAAGAATTATGGGTGTGTTTGTACCAAATAGTTCTGAGTAATCTTACAGTCTGTACTTGAACATATATGGAACACATTTTTACCATATAATGGGCTTTATTCTCTTTTTGATGTGTATATGCACTCCCATTTGCCTTAATGACAATTGCATGTGCAGATTGAAGGAAGAATAACCCCCAAAGCACGTAGTTTGCCCTCAGAGCCAAGTTGAATTATGTAGAATTACTATTCTGGCCTGGTCTGCACCACTCTGGTCCCCGAGCACCATTTAGGGCAGCCTCAGGCTGCTTTAACTTGAGCCAGTCGCCAACAGACCTGTGGGGATGTTAGGACAGTTCGATATCACTATTCACAAGGAATGAGTTTGGCATAGAAGCTTCTCTGGCAGTTCTATGCCACCTTAAAATCCCCCTGCACAGTGCAGATTCTTCAGTGGCAGGTGTAACCATGCCTTTGTGGGTCACAACTGAGAATACCAAATTCAGGACAAACTGCTGAGAAATAGGGCAGACACACCCCAAATTGGTGGTTATTCTTCCATAAGATATACCAAATAAGCAACAAAAGTAAACTTCTGTTTCACCACACTGGCTAACAAGAATTCAGAAAAGCAGTTTCCTTAGGCATTCCAGTCCTTGTATCACCACCAGAAACACTGGATTTAAAGATAAGTGGTTCTTTAAAACTAGTCTCATCAAACAAAAGGTTCTTCTGATCCCAAAGGACCAGCTACACACCCAGGTCAATATATAATTCAGATCTTACCCAAAAATCACGCTGATGCCAATCCTTTAGTATCTAAAATTTAAAGGTTTATTTATAAAAAGAAAGAAAAAAAGGTGAGAGTTAAAATTGGTTAAAGGAATCAAATACATACAGTAATTGCAAAGTTCTTGGTTCAGGCTTGTAGAAGTGATGGAATAAACTGCAGGCTTGATAAGTCTCTGGTTGCTTCCAAATCATTGGAAGGACTTCAGTCCCTTGGTTAGATTTCTCCTATTAGTATAAGTGTAGAGGTTTGAGCAGTAAAGAGGCAAAATGGAGGTGTTTCCAGGGTCTTTTATAGCTTCTGCCACGTGGAGAGAATCCATTGTTTCAAACAAAGCTCTCTGGAAAATTACAGGTAGCAAGATGGTGTTTGGAGTCACATGGGGAAGTCACATGTGATGCCTGATTCCAGTTAGTCATAGCAGGAAATTCCATGAAGTGTAAATAGGCGTCTCCCATGGTCCATTGTCAGTTAAATGTTCTTTTGATGGGCCACTCAATTTGAATAGTCCCTCCAAGATGTGCTGGCTAACTACCGTTACCCCAGGAGCAAACATTTGAAATACAGGTATAGAGCCAATACTCATAACTTCAAATATAAAAATGAAAAATGCACACAAATAGCATAATCATATTCAGCATATCATAACCTTTCCATAGGCATCTTACGTGCCACATTTTGTACAAGATTTGTTGCAATTATATAACAAGGGTTATATATTTATATTTATATTTATATATACCAATTGTTGCAATTATATACCAGTAGAAAAGCAAACATTCCATCAGCTATATGCACAGTACCCCATGGAGAAGGACTGCCGGTTCCTGATGCACCAGAATCATTCTCACTTGAGTCAGACAAGGAAGAGGAAGAGGATGAAACTTCTGGTCCTGAACCATCAATGTCACAGGACCCACATTTTCTCCCATCCTCCTCCTCTGAACCACACCTCATAACACAAGCTGAACTGAATGACCTTGTCAGGGATTTGGAGCTACCCAAGAGTAAGGCAGAGCTGTTGGGCTCCAGACTACAGCAGTGGAATCTCCTGGCAGGTGATGTTAGGGTTTCCATGTTCTGTGACCGTCAAATGGATCTTGTCCCATTCTTCTTCATGGAAGGTGATCTTGTAGCCTGCAACAACATCGATGGTGTGATGGCAGCCCTCAACATCGTTCACGATCCAGATGAGTGGAGACCGTTCATTGATTCATCGAAGACAAGTCTTAAAGCTGTTTTACTGCATAATGGCAATGACAGATTTCAGAGTAGCAGCCGTGTTAGTCTGTATCCTCAAAAA